CCTAGACCCTTCATCTGATGAAGGGTCTAGGCCCGAAACGTCAGCCTCTCTGCTCCTATGATGCTGCTTGGCCTGCTGTGTTCATCCAGCCCTGGACCTTGTTGTCTCGGATTCACCAGCATCTGCAGTTCCTACTATCTCCTATATAATCATGTTTGACACCCCAGTAAAAGTTGTTTTCTCCCCCACTCCTTGCGAGGCAGCAGCTATTAGTGCTGGCCGCACGCAGTTAGACCATGCCATTCCATCCCTGTCAGCAAAAGGATATATTTTTGAAATCTACTTAATTGAATATGAAGCAGGAAAGGTCAGCAGTGCATCTAAAGAGAACAGATTATTGCTTTACCAAAAAACAAAACTATGGATGCTGGAGAAACTCAGCAGACCTAGCAGCATCTGTGGAGAGAAAGCTGAATCACTGAACCTGAAATGCTGGCCCTGCTTTCTCTCCACAGATGCTGATGGACCTGCTGAGTTTCTCCAGCAATTTTTGTCTTTGTTTCAGACTACTACTTATCTCCTTTCTCTGTGAGCCCTGCCATTCAGTCTATCCAATCTGTCTCCCCTCTCACCTTCCCACACATTAGAATTTCTACTCTAGCTGTTGCAGTATGTATGTTTAATCATCATCAGCTGAATATTGTATAGGTGATCATTTCTTCCAGAGTATCAAAACTTAGTAAATCGTGATCCAGCGGTAGCACAAGACTTTTTAATTTCAGGAGTGTGCAATGCATGCATATTTTCTAACAACCCTTGAAGAGCTACTGATCAATGAGTTTAGTTAATCAGCACAATTAACAGCTATTTAACTAAAAACATTGCTTATCCAGGCTAGTGCTAATCTACATGTTTTAATAGGGTGTGAAAATTGGTCTGCACCTGATGAAACAATTCTATTAGTTATATAATTGTCCAACATTAATAGGTGCAACAAGTAATTAAAGGAGTTAATGGAATATTGACCTTTATCCCAATGAGATTGGAATTCACAAATAAGGAAGTGGTGCTACAGAACTAGGGCCAGACTTATAATGGAGTTAACGATTTTCTGTTCAGTTTCTGGCACCAAGCCTTGGGAAACACACTGATCTTGGAAGGGGTACAACATCTCTAGCAAAAGTGTCTTCTCTCTGCCAAAGAGTGCTTTGCTTTGCCTCCACCTGAACTATATCCAAACAGCATGTTGTCTTACCAAAAGGGGGAAAGCATTAAACATTCCTTCAGCCCTCACCCCTCTCGCTTACAAATTCTCCATGGCCTACCCATGGCAACCATTGATTCCCAGTGCCATCTACGAAACCCCTTCATGATAGGTTGACCATTTGAGTTCCAAGGTGTTTATGTATTTTGTTTTTTTTCCACACATTTTAAGAGTGTAGAGAGTAGTAGAGAATGGAAACGGACCTGTCCAAGTAGTGCACACCAACCATGTTCCCAACTAAACTAGTCCCACTTGCCTGCGTTTGGCCCATATCCCTACAAATCTTTCCTATTCATGTACGTATCCAAATGTCTTTTAAATATTGTAACTGTACCTGCAGCCAAAGGGTTCCTGATTCCGCCCCTCCCACCAAGGAACCCATTGTTTTCCCCATTACCAAAGGATAACTGATGTCCACTCCCCCATCCCCTCAGTGTCCTGCAACAATATCTGCAGAGGAACCTCGGCTTTCCGGTTATTCAGAGGAAACGCTGTGAAAGCAAACCTGCTTTTACGTGCTCTGCACACTCCGTGTTTTAAACATGAAGGACTCAAATGCTGTTTCAGTTTGGAGTTGGTCATTTAAATAGCCAGCTGCCTCTGGAAACTGCGCATGCACAAACTACAGCCAGTCCAAATCCCCACCAGCATCCCCCACACAACACCCAGCTCTGACGACAAAATCCCCCCAATCCCCAACCTTGACCAAAAGTGAAAATGTTGGGTTTAGGGATGGGGTTCTTTTTCCAACTTTTGCCATTTTAACCACATTGGAGACTTTTTCTGTTGTGGTAGAAACCAAGTTCTAAAATCTGAGATTTGGACAGCATCTAAAAGAGTAGGTGGTGTTTTATTAAAGGTTCTGGAACTAACCTGTTTGGTTTTCCGATGCTGACTAATCTGCTGTCCCTTTTCAGCATTCAGTCTTACTGTGTAAAAGTGATGTAGTAGGATTTTGTACCAAATCAGTGCCTTCAGTTACTACTTTTAATTTTGTGACCTGGGGTAAGCTATCTCTTTAGCAAGGAGGGAACCTAAAGAAGGGAAGAGTTGTGTGTGAAGAGAAAGTGAGGCACTCCATTGTATATTCATAAAACTAAGTTGAAAGTACTCAATGGTAATGCACTTGTATTGGCCTATGACAGACTGTACAGTTTTAAGTAACTTGCACTTTTGAGTTAAAATGTACCTCCAGTTTATTTTTCTGTTTTGATTTTCTATCTTGAAATATCGGCCATACTATTCTGAGGAAAGGCCTATTTAAATTCATTCAATCTTTGATCTGTTCTCCATGCTGGGATTTAGTTTTGTTTTTAGATTCTCATAACTCTTATTAACTTTATTCACTTCCTCCCTGACAGTATTGAATACTGGTTCCGCTGTATGGATCTTGATGGAGATGGTGTGCTGTCAATGTACGAACTGAACTATTTCTACGAAGACCAGTGTAAAAAGTTGGAGTGTATGTCTATTGAGCCACTGCCCTTTGAAGACTGCCTTTGTCAATTGCTTGATCTAGTTAAGCCAGAATGTGAAGGTATTTTTTGATGTTCATTAAGGGATTGCGGGCATTTGCTATCAAAGCCAATATTCCTAACTGTCCATAATGGAGTGAATTAGTAAGCCATTTCAGAGGAAAGTAAGTCATCAAGCAGTGGGTCTGGAGTTGCATGTAGATTGGGTTTAAAAAGTTTTTCCATAAGGACATTAGTGAACCTTGAGTTTTCCTGATGTAGCAGTTACATGTCGTCAGATTATTGTTTTGTTTAAAGCATTAATGAACTAAATTTAAATTGTGTAACTGATGGAAATATTTCTGTTTATTTAAAAAGTAAACTGTAAAATGAGGCTTTTGATTTTGCTTATGTGTAAAATGCATTTGATTACTTGGACTTCTGGTCCGAATTTGTTTATGGTTTTAAGGGAGAATAAGAATTCTCTAGCTTGCGCCCCTGCGCTCGCCCTGTGCCTCTCCTCTGCCTCTCCTCTGCCTCTCCTCTGCCTCTCCTCTGC